CATGAGGTACGTGGCCCCACGTTTGCTTTGTGACCTGGATTGTCGGTGAAATACATTCTTCCAACTTAACTTATGGACCGGTAAAAACACTAGAAGTTTTAACATAGCCTTTACCCATTCCTTCAAAAAAATAATAACCCCGGCGAAGATTACGTTGCTCTACAAATCTGCGATATGTCTAAACAAACAAACTTTGAACATTTAACTCTACGTTTTCGATCACTGACGATTGTCGAATCGCCCCCATCTGTCAAGTCCTGTCATCTGTCGAGTAAAATAAACCTGTGTATTGAGAAAAGCCACTTCTAAGTTTGCTCAGAATACCTACAAATAAATATCTGCTCTGAGGTGTCTTGCAAAAACCCTTTCTGCAGGTATAGTGTATATATTTTTTTACCCGGCCATTGGTAGAATCTAACATAAATTTTAGTTTTCCAGTTACAACTATGCAGTGTGGAAGTTTTGTGTTTTACAAGAATCCACCACTACATTACCTACACTTCTACCGAGGAACCCAGGAAGCCACCAGTTAAAGTGATTAAAGGACGTGATTTTCGCGAGTGCAGGTTCTAAAATTGTGAAATGTTCCTTGAGGTGAAAGGTTTCATTGATACAGGACCTGTCTCAAAAACTTAGTCTTTTTTTGTTCAAGTTGTTTATTTTTCACAGCAGGGATATGCGATTATTATTTAACCATTCTCGCCTTCCATGTAGTGGCTTCAGCTGCACTAATTCTAAGAAAACTATGGCAAATAAAGTTATTTCAAACTACATTACATTAATTTCATTTTATAAAAAATTTGTTCACTTGGGACATAACGTAAAACAAGTTAAAAGGTTATTAAAACATATTGAGAAAATACCTGCTTTGGAAAATTCCTCAATAAATTTTGGGCCCCCAGGAAGCCACCAGTTAAAGTGATTACAAGAGCAAGTGATTTTTGCGAGTGCAGGTTATAAAATTGTGAATGTTCCCTGAGGTCAAAGATTTCATTGGTATGGGACCTGTCTCAAAAGCTTAGTCTTTTTTTTGTTCAAGTTGTTTATTTCTCACGACAGGGATATGTGATTATTATTTAACCATTCTCGCCATCCATTTAGTAGCTTCAACTACACTAATTCTAAGAAAACTATGGCAAATAAAGTTATTTCAAACTACATTACATTAATTTCATTTTATACATAAAACAAGTTAAAAAGTTATTAAAACAAATTGAGAAAATTCCTGCTTTGGAAAATTTCTCAATAAATTTTGGGCCCCCAGGAAGCTACCAGTTAAAGCGATTAAAGAACAAGTGATTTTCACGAGTGTAGGTTATAAAATTGTGAATGTTCCCTGAGATCAAAGATTTCATTGATGCGGGACCTGTCTCAAAAACTGTCTTTTTTTGTTCCAAGTTGTTTATTTTTCACAGCAGGGATATGTGATTATTATTTAACCATTCTCGCCTTCTATTTAGTAGCTTCAACTACACTAATTCTAAAAAAACTGGCAAATAAAGTTATTTCAAACTACATTACATTAATTTCATTTAATAAAAAAATATTTTCACTTAGGTACATACGTAAAACAAGTTAAAAAGTTATTACAACAAATTGAGAAAATACCTGCTTTGGAAAATTCATCAATAAATTTTGACCAGTTTAAATAAAACATCTTTGTTGACCTACTATATGTTACATATATAATTTGACATTGTGCATACAGTATAAAAACACCCACCAGCATATTATATTAAATATAGAGATATATACATATGTTCAATGAACATATAATAAATACAATTTTTTGTCAACGAATTTTCGAAGGTAGTTTCAATAAATATATTTTTTTGTCACTTAAAAAACTCAGGTTTTAATTGATTCCGACAGTTCTAAAATAAGTAAACGATAAAAATATTTGTATAACACTGATAGATATTTCAAAAAAAATTATGTAAAAACATTAACCATTCAGTTTTAAATAAAGGTAGGTAGCTATTTCACTTTACAGTACATTCTCTAATTTTTTTTGTTATTCACAGAAATGAGAAAAATGTATTGAATAATATTTTTCTAAATGATTTTATTGTCATATTAAATAATACACCTACCTACAGCTATTTCCTTTTTTTACATTTTGGAAATATTTAAATTCAAAGTAAATATGTATATATTTTTCTAATGTTTTTAGTCAAATGTAAAATAGATTAAAATAAAATACTATGTAAATATTATATTCCAGTCAAATTTACATATTTTCCATCATGTTATTTTAGTTGTACAAACAACTTTATTTGGAACTCACAATTTCCATATCAATAAATACTTTGGACATTCTATCAGACCATTTAATTCACACTTAAACATTTCAAACTTGAGAACTTACACTTTGTTTCACAAAAAATGCAGATTTTTATTTTCCATGCATGCAATTTTATCACAAAGTATTCTTTATCAATCGAGATCTTTGTCCTACGCTATATTCTAAAAAAATTCTAAGTCTATGCACTAAATAGCAAATTTAGTACATAATTATATCAACCACAGTAACGGAGATGTGGACGAAACATTCTCACTAACAGCCACTAAATTTCAACAAGAGGAGTTTTCAAATTATAATATGTATATAAGATCTTTTTTATGTCGTTCAAAAAGCAAGCTTTCTGTCTTTGAAGATATTTTTCTTATTCTAAGAATACTCTATATATATGGAATGTAATAGTAATACTGTGGATATTTTTAGTTTATACCATAACTTCAGGAAGTTTTTCTTTCGATTATTTAAAAAAAATTTATGATACTAAGAGTTTCTCATTTTCAAAATACACTGTATATAATTAATAAAAAAAAGTCCTTTACCTTTGAATATTATATAATTAAAACACATTTAGGATAACTGAAACAATTGAAGGGAAAAGTTGATACCTACATTTTATCAGTAATTTAAGTAGGTACTATGAGACTATCATGAAACCGTTTCTAATAAATTTTTCTGAAACAAAATATATAATATTATGTTACACAGTATACATATAAACAACAAGCAGAAAATCTTCTATTCTCTATTTTTTATGATACGGCGAAATCCAAATATTTACTTTCAACCTGGGTTTTAGTTAAAACATTACTTTACATTTACTTATGGTATACCCAATAAATAAATTTCTTCTAAATAATCCAAAAAATGATTAAATTATTGCTAAAAAATAAACTAATATTCTAACAAGCACAATTATGCATATTAGAATAACTTGACTTCGTGAGGTTCAATCAGGTGCCACTCTTTCATTCTTCATATAGTCAAATGTTAAATAAATGTATTATTCCAATTATTCTCTGGATATTATTTCAAGTAAATAATACACATTCTTTTTTATTTATTATAATCAATAATACATACATCTGAATAAATACTGCATTAAGTACTGTACCAGAATTTCTGTGCTTAAAACATTTAATTTTTCTAAATACAAAACCTTAACTTCTACTATCACATGTCAATTGCATTAAAACATATTTTTTATATCTTCAATTTAACTTTACAACATTGAAATTTTAATCTACCACAATAGATTTTATCTTTACCACTTACGATGGATCTACAATACATTATCTTTGTGGGATTTCATATTTCTCACAACAATCAACGTCAACGGTATTTTTACATACAGAATAAATATATTTTTTTTTTGTATTAATTTCACAATTAATATTTTAGTTCTTCAGCAACACAAACAAAATATTTCACATATCACAATTAAATAATGTCTTCAGTGTAGAGCTGGGTCGCTCATGAACGACTCGCACGAATGTGCCGGCACATAATCTTGTGCCGTGAACGAACGACTCGCAACGAAGGAGCTAATCGTTCATCGTTCATACCGGCACCTAATCTGTGACCGGCACTGAGCGAGCACTGAACATTGAACGATCCGAGAGCNCTACAATATGATTCTCTCCGTTTCTAATACATTATTTATATAGATTTCAGAAACTGATAATATTAAGGTTATGCATTATCATTGAATCAAAAATGGTAAAAGAATGGTAGTTAAATAATTTCCCGGATCTGTTTACATCGTTGTATATTAAACTCATAGACCTCAAGCGCGAGCGCTTATTGGTTGAACTGTCAAAAATTAGTTCTTACTTCTGCGATTAGCCAATAAGCTTTCACATTTAAGTCCATGACATTTCTGTATAATTTGAGATTATAGTTCCTTCCTGCAATTATCTCAATCACAGATGTATACTGATAGATAGTAATTTTTAGTACATAGAAAGTTATTACATTTATTTTATAATGATATCGTCATTACACCTATATATATTAATATTATTAAAAATATACATATATACATTATATAAATATGCATATATTTTCTTAGATTCACAGACATGTAATAACATATATATTCATTATCAATTTATGCATATCAACCATCTTATAGTTATAAGATCAATAAAATTATAAACAAGACAAATTATCAAGGTGGCAAAATTCATTTTTCAATAGCGTCATAAATAAGAAACGACGCCATTTATTGCTTCGCGTTCCTTTTATTCGCATAATTCACTGCGCTGTGAATATATCGTGAATTTTATCTTCTATTTCTAATCGTTTTTTTCAAAACGACATAGTTATTCATACTTCAATAGCCTTATTCTTCGGTAACGGTAAGTCCCAATTTTATTTATAATTTTTTAAATACATTTTCCCTCAAAATATTGCCCAACAGATAAACATAGAGAAATATTCCTGTGTACCATCAAAATCAATATGAAGAATCGTTTCTATATTCTTGGGATTTTAAAAAATATTTTAATAATACCTACTATTGGTCTTTTAAAGTTTAACGTTCCCTTTAAAAATAAAAGACATTAAAATTGCACTTTGCTCGCTGACATTAAAATTTCTAAAAACATTTTTTTAAATACCTATTTAAATAGGTAGGTACATTAAAATACTTCAAAGTAAAATAAATTCAAAACAAGCATATCGCTTTTTTCTTTATGTCATGTCGTATAATCTGAACGAGCGAACTTCAGATTTCGACTATCTTTCGAATCCAAGTTCCAACGCCCGGAGCAGCGCTCCAGTACAAGCCATCTATGTAAAACCTGAAGCTATAACAAACATATTCCACAATGTTTCCAATCCCGAGCCCAAAGCCGCTGTCAGAGGAGAAAGTAAAACTTTCACTCATGTTTCCAATCCAAACCTCAAAATCCAGCACCAAGCTCCAAGCCCGATTTCAAGCATAAGAAATCGAAGG